AAAAAAATAAGTAAAGAAAATTTTTTCAGATTAATATCAGGTACTTAATAATAGCAAATATAAAGATATTGTGAACCAATAGATCTCATTTTCTGTATTGATGCTAACAAAAAAGGCTTTAAAACCAAATAGGAGAGAAACATTTGACTCAAGTATATCCTCTAGTTTCTCTTTGTTATGGCTCTACGCTATTATTACGTATAACATCATTACTAGATAGCACAGGCACAGGGCAGAGCTTCTAATTTGATTAGAAAAGATGTATTTTGCTACGTTCAAACATTGTTCGGATCATAGTTGTGTCTAATAACACATTGATTTATTCCTTTCTAGTAATACAAACGGAGCTAGTGCATAGCATCAAAAAGCATTCATTGTGGAACTAGCTGCTGGATTTCGCAAAAACCGCACTAACATTTCCAGAGAATTCCTAACGATCTAACAAAGAAAAACTGGAATTTTTCACTCATTCATCTATTTTATCATATAAAACAAGTTAAAACTACGTCGTTCTCAAATTTTCAAACGTTTTGGATCGATTCTAGTCACAGTCATTATATTTTTCAATAGATAGTGGTAAAAGGTCTCGAATAATGGAGAAGTAGAGACAATGTTAGCAGATAATGTACCAGGTGTTTCAAAAGTAGCCACTAGAAGAAAGATGACTAAAACTTCATTACTTCTTGGCCAAATGAGCTCATTTTTTTTTTGTTTAATAGAAAAATGTTCAAACTTTTAGATATGACAAAAAATAAATTAAATGTCATATTCTTTAGGGTTCAGAATAAGATCTTTGAATTAATGACAAAATTTGAATCTGTAACGTTGATCTATCGCCATCAAATTTTCAGCCATTTCTATCCTTAAGTTTTTTTTTTGTCATATCTAAGATTTTGAACATTTCGCTATTAAACAAAAAAGAATGAGCTCATTTGGCCAAGAAGTGATAAAATTATAGTTATCTTTTTTCCGATAGTGACTTTTGAAAAATCCTGTAATTTTTGTTGTATCAATTTTGACACTATACTTACTGTTTTGCTGAGCGATTTATCAGACTTGCTTTTCGATGGATTATATAAACGTTGTACTAGTGTTGTTAGCTAAAATACAATAAAAAAATATAACAATAATGAACGGGTACATGACCATTATTTAGTGCTTCTAGATAAAAGTCACTGTGGGTTTAACTGACCTCAGAACAATGGATATTCTATTTTTTGTTTCAAAAGTGCTATCTTTAACAGATATCAAAACTCGGTGTAGTACTTGTGTTACAGAAGTCATAAAATATTATATTAGTACAAGTAGAAGCTAACTATTACACAAGAGTATAGTAAGTAACTGAAGCATTATCTTGTGTTAGCACAAATAATGAGACAAAAAAAGCGGTGTCTAATTTCTAGTAGAACATCAACAATTTGTACAATAAAAATTGTCTCTTTTTCTCTCACATTTAATAAAGACACATATATCAGAGAGTGTCTTACACTTCGTTTGTTGTTCTCTCTTCTCCTTTGTTTTGTATTATAACATGCGTGGATTTGAGTATCAATGATTACTTTCTCCAACTATATGTCGTTGGGTTTTTTTTAAAAACAAATATAGTAATTCATAAAACAAAAAATGAACAGTATTATACTATTCTTATGAAATCTAAACACTTGAGAAAATGCTCATCGAGTTTAGCCATGCACTGATTTCAAATAATTGAACATCAATTATTAAAAGTCAAGCAATGATCTATGAAATAAGAAAAATTCTAAGTTTAACCTACATGATTGTTCGAGACTGTGACTCTTCAGTGCTGCTAAATCTTGATTCTATATAAAATGAAAATTTTATTACGATACAGACAGTCTTATGAGTTTCTTTTTACATATAAAAACATTGTTTACTGAAAATCAAATGATTTTTGTTTGCGCTGAATAAACATCATCAAACAAAAGACAAAAAAAGCATCACAAATTGGACGATAAACTAAATTGATTGATATCCAATATAATTAAGTAACAATTCAACCGTCGGTTTATCTAGGTCTAGAAGTTCTTAGAACCCTGTCTATACAGGATCATCATAAAAATTTTTTGGTCGATTACGTAACGACCACTTTACATGTCAAATTCATTTTAAACTTTACACAGTAATCTGAATTCTTATGTTGTTTTGATATTATTACTAGAGAGATTCTGTTTCGTATTTAATATACAACTTTTTTGATTTCGAACAATCGATAATTTGATTTTTAATCGAAATCAGTAATGTCTGGTCGAATCACATTTGATAAAATATATAATCTATAAAGATCTACCTAAAGACTTTCATTCAGATAATGAACAAAAATTCTCTCAAACTATAAAATCATAAAAAGAATAAAAGATTACCACAAGAAATTCTTGTTTATCCACCACTTGATTACCTAGAAAAATATTGTTAACTAATTTGTATCTTAAAGCATTATAATCATTTTTCTATTTCACACTTACCATCCGTATCAAACATGTTGAATGCAATTTCAAATTGATTAGAGGGTTCTAAAAAACATTCAAATATAACGATGATGTATCATAAAAAACCAATTCAAACACACTTGTCAAAATAACCCAAAGAAATAAATATTCTGGAAATGAAATGATACCTACATAAATAAATAATACTATGAAAACAGATAATAGAGACATGAGTAGAATAATTTATATATACCAGACTCTTCCAAATTTCGAAAAAATTTTTTTGAACCACGATGTTTTGGTGGTGTATTATATAGCAATGCATCGACTTTTTGTTGATCTAAATGTCTTCTTCCAACACGTGCTGCAAAAAGACATTTCTTAATGATATTAACCGAACGTAAAAAAAAATGAACATACGTCTTGGTTTCTCAGTAACAACGGACTCTAGAAAGTCCATAGGTGTCTAAAATAGAAAAAAATCGTACAAAATGTATCAGATAATATAGCGTTTTTCTAACCATGTACGGATTTCCATTATATTCAACTGATGCAAATTCCAAAAAACGTCGTTCACGTTGACTTGTTGAATTCTTTTCGTTATCATCTTTCTCGCTTTTATCATCTTCATTTTCATCGTTAAACTCATTTTCTCCATTCTCAACTTTTGGATACTTTCTTCGCTATAAAAGAGTGAACGATAGAATATTATGTTGAGAAAACTTAGTTCAACTTTTATTTACATATTGTGCTGCATGAATAACAAAAGAAGACAAAATTCTTTCTGGAATATATTGAATATATACAGCAATTTTCTTCTGCTGTTTTTTTTCTTGAACCAATAATGCTGTCGTTAAACTCGTTGCAGTTAATGCAATATATTTCCATGACAAGTAACGGGATCTCATAGTATTGAATAATCAGAGACACTACCTTATTGTGTTCTTCTTCATCTAAAAGATAACTAAGTATGATGCCAAAATAAAAAGAAGATATGTTAACAGAAACGAATAGAACACAACATTACACTTTAGTGAGTCTCAAGTTTACACGAAAAACCGCATTTTAAGTTGATTTTATTAAAAAGTTATCAACTTCTAAAATAATAAGTTATCATAAAAAATCATTCTGAAACTGACGAAGGACTTGAACTGGAACTAAAAGATACATAAATAATTAACATCACATCTTGAAATAGTATAACGAAAGATCATACTTGCTATTGATAGTGGTCGAACACACAGAAAATCCAACTTATTTGTCATTTGTTGTATTTTTTTCATTGATGTTAAGTCGAGTAATGTTACTTGTATTTCAAGACATCTGTATCAAGATGCGTTTTAGTTAAGGAAAGATTTTTCTAAAAACGTATTGATTTGCCATTAGAAAAGATCTCATATTCATTCAGATTCATAGAAAAGGATACAATTCAAAATAAAATTGTCCTATATAGTTTATTTGATTACGTATACGTTTCATTTCTGATTTTGAGTAATCATCATTTGAACTAATGTCATGTTTAAGGTTCACCAAGAATAAATCAATAAGTTTTGGAAGTTGCTTAACAGATTTTATCAATGTCGTACCATGTTTTTCCAATGTATTCCTAAAATAAAAGAAAACTAACAAACTACAAGACGATACTACTGAAAAAGTATAAATGTTAGAGAAATAGACTGTTTTTAACTAAATAATCTATAATTAGAAATATTCATAAATGATATAGTACAAATTTTTAAGTACCAACTTTGCTGTAAATTTTTCATCGATAAATTTAAATTTTCATTTAATAAACATAATTTTTCTGTCGGTAAATTTTCATCAGAACACATTTCTTCACTGAAATCTGCATCACCTTCTTCTTCCTCTTCTTCGTTGTTATTAATAATTTGCAATATGTTGTTGATATGAGAACAAAGTCCATTAGCAATTTGATCTAATTCATTTAAATTGTCATCAAATTTTTCAATTGTACGTAAAAATGCAGCCATATTTTCATGGATTTTATCCAAATATAGATTCTGCTTTTTCTTTTGTGTATTCATTTATTCTGTAATAAACATGTAGGCAAATATTAAGCTTATGTTAAACTAACGAAGACCGCATCATCATATTACAACAAGCTAGAAATATATATTCTTTCTTCTGTTAGAAAGCAAAGGCTGTTGAATAATTAATTTCAGTACACCCCTAAGTTTCTACTTGCCAAAAGGATTAAAGTGAAGAAAAATCTAGTCGAAAAATTGCTACTAATGTGTTATAACCTTTTGATTTTGTTGAACAAAATTGAAATACAAAATAAATAAAACTAAAATAAGAAATTTCATTAATCGACTTTTGCGAAAGGTTTATCTTTCATAATATTATCAGATATTTTCAGAAACATCCATAAACAAAAGCATTCATCATGAGTCGTTGTTTTTCTCGTTTCCGTTATGTGACTATCAGCAGTAATTTCACGGTTACACAGTAAAATTAAACCGTTTTTTACCCCTAATTAATCATGTTCATTATAATTAGATAAATCTTTTATTCAATATTCGACCTCAAATTTCATTCATTATTCGCTTTATTTTCATCTGCTTCAGGCGTTTGTCGCTTTTTCTCTTCCATTTCACTTAAATAATTAACAAATTCATGTAAACGTGCTATTTCTCTTGCACCAAATATTGTACTTGGACGAATGTTTTGTATTCTTCTTGCAGCTTCTTCGGGCGTCACACCATACGTATCGATTAAATAGCATGCGGCCAAATTTGCTGAACGTTGCCGTCCCGCTTTGCAGTGAATATAGACTCGTTCATTTTTCAATCGCCGATTTCTTAAAAATTCAGCTCCATGATATAAATTATCTATTTGTGGATTACTAAAATCGACGGTTGGTAGACGTAAATGTAGTATATTGTATTTCTTCCATAAGTTAGGATCCGAGACATAGCTGAAATAAATCATCATTGTTTCTTTGATACGTCAAAAAAAAGCATTTTTTTACTTACCCTAATTCAAAATCTTCGTTCATCGATATAACAGCATTAATTTTTTCATGTTCAATAAGAAATTTTTGCATTGTGACTGTGGGCAAAATTCCAACATAAACTGTGTCATCAATACGATCATAAGCATTTCGATAGCCAAGATACGTCATCAATTGTGTGTAGCCATAACTTGGTAAAAAAGCGATACGAGAAAAACGAGGAACCCACGACATATTCGAAAATGTTTTGGTTTTTGAAGCACAATACAAAATGCTTATATATCATGCATTCTAAAACACTGTTAACATAATCTGTTGATCGTACAAAGAAATTTATCACCAATCTTTAAAATGAGACTCAAGTAGTTGAGGATATATGCACTAGTACAAAGTAAACAGATTTTCTAGTTGTATTTTCAATGTTAGAATATTCACTCTTGTAGCCTATAAGACTAAAACTAAGACAAAGACTAGTTTATTCACGAAAAGTGAGAATCATCATCAAAGGTCGCCGACCTTTAATATCAATGACTCGAGTCAAACTACAAAAATGAAATTAAAAAAAAAACAGAAAAAAACGAAACAAGAGTGTATAACGTAAAAATAAAGTAACAATGAAATAAACACAAATAAAATAGCATGAAAGAGAACAATTAACACAAGTTTAATATGACTAGAAACATGTATTGAACTAGTGCCTTTTTGAAAGACGTTAAAGAAGAACAACAGATCACTGACTCAAAGACTTTATTCCAGTCAGTAACAGTTGAATAGAAAAAAGAAGAGAAGACTGTTTGAGAAGAAAAAGCATTGACAGAGGGTGGAATGCGAACATATCTGGAATGATGACAGCGTAAAGAAGAGTAATGAGGACGATGGCCAGGGAAAAAGATAGAAAGAGGACTAAGACGATGATAAATTTTGAAAAACTGTACAAGTCGAAAAAATTTACGACGAAGTGAGAGACTTGGAAGAGAAAGTTGTGACACAAGTAAAGAGCTAGAAAAACGATAATCGAAATTACGAGAAATAATACGAGAAGCAAGTTTGTTGACAGAGTCAAGAACATAGAGAAAGAAAGAACTATCCTACAAGGCACAACAATAATTAATTTTTGGAAGAATACAAGAGAAGGTTCGACGTCGAACCTCTAGCGCAGCTAAGCCAAAGACACGACTCAGTGCTGCCAACTTGCGCCGACAAGAGCAATATTTCTAGCATGCTCACTCCACCTCGGATCGTGTGACACAATAACACCAAGACAGCGAACTGAAGAAACAACAGACGAAGGAACGTTATTTAGATACAATTGATTATAAACAAACGGAAAGAGGTGAAGGAAGCCAAGAACACTAAGACACATTTAAAGACATAAAAGATTAGAAGACCAATGAGAAACACTATATGAGATATTGTATCTATGGAAATATACAAAAGTCAAGCCTCTGTTGTCAGTTTTAAACCGAATAGATACACTATAATTGAACGCATATTTTTCAATGTTTCTCTTTAGCTCCAAACAGTAACTCTGAGGAGTCAGGGCCAATATAAACTGACGTAGATAGTCTCTCCGTGGAGCTAAAGAGAAACAACGTGCATTTTCGACACCCTCTGATGATTCATTCACACTGACTTCGTTAAAAGATAAGAGGACAATTTCGCAACCACTGAAAACTGGCTTTGATGCCTTTCTGACAAGCATTGCCTTACGAGAGATTTGCATTAGGCGATCCGCTCATAACGCACAACTTAATTTTTTCATTGAATTTTTTTAGTACTTTAGTGGAATACAGTTATTTTCAAGTCTATTCTTCTTTGTAACAGAGTCATTGATGATGATCTCAGCAATGTTTCAGGCCAATCGTTTCTTCCCGTTTTCGTAGGTATATCTAGCGACAAAAAACAAAAACATTACAGAAGAAAAACGCAGAACGAACTAAAGAGAATTAAGTTAAGGAAACTTTTATCACAAAAATTAATGTAAGTGCTTTAGATTCATAAGATCCGTTAGAATGCAGTCTATAACACTGTTTGGAGAAGCTTTACAAAAGTTACAAAAAATAGACATTGATCACTTAGTATGCTGAAATTGTGAGGAAACTGGATTCATTGTCAAGAACAAAAATCACTTTGAAAGAAATAGAATTCTTCGATTATAACGGTCTTCTGTCACTGTTTGCTATGCGTTGAAATTTATCGCTTTTTGCTTTTCCTCAAGCTCATTGAAAATAATGTAACTATCATGGGTTTACATGACAGCATGCTCTGCAAATATATATAATTGTAACCAATACAAATTTCAATGATCTATTGAGAAAATCTAATGGTACCAAATTGTATATGTGCAGCCAAATATTTTTTGTAAAAAGTGGATAAAACAGATGGCCTGACGCATTATCAGCAAAACGTCTGCCACTACTACGTTTAAACATTGAATGTGCACTGTTTTTAGCAGAAAAAAGGTGGAAAATGTATTAGTAAGTGGTGAACGTACACTTTACCGAAAATTCTAATTGAAAACACTTGTTTATTCGTGGCCTGATACGAACGTTCATCTCAAAGGTGACAAATCGATTCACCTCAAAAAAATTTTACGTTCATGCTGAAGATCATTTGATGTTCTTAAGTAGCTATTGTTTTAGATAAATATAAAAGAAATATCTCAAAATGGTTAAAATAATGAAACCGAACAAAGTCGTTATTATATTGGCCGGGCGTTATGCGGGTCGAAAAGGAGTAATAGTAAAGGTTAGTTAGCTAACTTAAGAATTTCTATTCCATTAACTGGTACATATTCTCCTTTAGCCACATGATGAAGGTGGTAATGATCGTGGTTATGGTCATGCACTTGTTGCTGGTATTGACCGATACCCAAGAAAAATAACAAAAAAAATGGGCAAAAAAAAGCAAGCCAAACGATCAAAAGTTAAACCCTTCATTAAATTATTCAATTACAATCATTTGATGGCGACTCGGTAAAATTTGTCTTTACCATTATATTAACACAGAATCTATTGACGTTCATTTTTCTTTTTTTTCTAGTTACACCGTCGATATTAATTTTGAAAAAAGTGTGATAAATAAAGATATATTTCGGGATCCGGCACTGAAACGAAAAGCACGTCGTGATGCTAAAGAAAAATTCGAAGAAAGGTATAATAAAACCACATTTTTCTATTAGCAGTTCAAATGACAAATTTTTGTCTTGTCTTTTTGTTTAGATACAAAACTGGAAAACACAAATGGTTTTTTCAAAAATTACGATTTTAAACAAAATAATGTTAATAAACAAACGAGAAAAGTACAAAGAAGTGTCATCGTCAACATTTTATTTTTTCTCTGGCTGAAAATTTAACATGTGCAGACTTTTTTTTGTTACATTGTTTTGATCCAGATCGTTTAAAAATAAAATTCAAACTAAATCAGCATATGTGGTTAAGAAATCATGTTTATTTAGCTTCCTTACTATAAAGACTGTCAAACATTCAACGAACTTCGCTATTAGCTATGAGAAAAACCAAGACGTATGTGTGAAGTAAAACAGAAATTATTTGATCGAATCATATACGTAGGATAAGATTAGTTTGAGAAATGTGTGGCTAGTTCTAACTGAAAACTAATATGTCAGATAGTAGCAAGCGTATCATCAACCATGAAACTGTTTTTTGAATTCGGACTTTTTATGCTGTAAATTATAGCATTATTTTGTTACTGGTAACAAATTCATGTTATTCTTTCATATTTTAGTAGAGTCGACAAGCGCGGCTGCTGCCGTTATTCTAAATTGCTTATTTTTTAGATAAAAAAGTATAATGGATGTTAAAAGATGAGTTTACAATCCCGTTTAAACTTTGTGCACCTAATTAAACAATATCGATTAGAACGTCTTTTTAAATTAATCGATCGTACACAACTGAATAATCGTTTTCGCTCAGTACTGAATTTATCATCTACGACTGCAGCACAGGTACGCCTAAATAGTTATGTGCTGCATGAAAATAACTACTTTTAGCTGTTTTCATTATAGATCTGTAACAGTGATAGAGCAAAACAACAGACAGTATTCTTCCCAAATAAGATCAATGTTTCAACATCAACACTAATTCGAGACTTACTCGATAGTAATAGAGTAATGTTAACATATCTTAAAAATTATGTCCAATATTTTACATGTGTTTTTATTCTAGTCATACCGAAAATGGTTCAATAGTATAATAAGATCGTTATCATCCGAAGAGCGAAAAAATGGTTTATATATTGGCTTTATTTGTTGGTGGCGTTCTATCTCTATTTTTCTGTTTAGTCTTAGTCGCCCTGTTCCAAAATGATCCTCGAAGTCTACCACCAGAACCGGGCACTAAAAATCGCTTTGAAAATGAACAACGAGCACAACAAAATTCATCATCTGGCAAAGGTATACTAAATTTCAATCATTACTTCATTTATTTATGTGAGATCTGTTTTCTAAGGTCCTGAGGCTCAGGAACCACAAGACTCGCCTCAATGGGTGAAAACGTTAATTACAGTTGTAACTATAGCATTTGTTTACACATTATTAAGTGGTAAATCACAACGAAACACAAATGCCTTTTCAGAAGGTTATATATCCTGGAATGAGTTCGTTCAAGACATGCTAGCAAAAGGAGAGGTTAGTACGTCTTCAGCAGAAGAAATCGTTTTTACTGTTGAAAAATGACTAGTAGCGTCTTTTAAATATCGTAATGCTTTTTAGGTAGCAGAAGTAATATTGCATATTGAACAAGAATTGGCGTACATCAAGCTTCATCCAGAACCTGTAGTCAAAGGACGAAAGGTATGTTGTGATTTGTTAGAAGTCGTTAATATATTTAGTTATTTTGTTTTTGTTTAGTTATTCGATCGTGATACGTTTGTTATGAAAATTAGTAATGTTGAAAAATTTGAAGAAAAATTACGTAAAGCAGAATCTGATTTAAATATTGATCCGTCCAATCGTATATTAGTCAGTTATACACGGTCGAGGTGAGTTTGATGTCTGTTTTCCAGCAATATGAAGCGAATGATGTATTTGTTTTAGTCAATGGGCACCATTGTTTCTATTAGCTTCGCTAGCCTTCATATTTTATCTTTTTATCAAATCTCGACTTACAACAGTAAAATTTCCCAATCCAATGGATGCTTTGGTGAGTTTTTTCATTAAAACTATTTTAGCAAAGTAAATAATTAGTTTTTTTCTCGCAGACGAAAGCAAAATTCACAATGGTCGATCCGCATATCAAAATTAATATTCCTACAACAACATTTGCGGATGTAGCAGGAATGAAAGAAGCAAAACTTGAGGTCATGGAATTTGTCGATTATATCAAGTCGCCTCAAAGGTTTATGGTAATGAATATATGCAATATTGTTTAATAGAAAGCATTAAGCGATGTTTACATATTAGGATCTTGGTGCTAAAGTACCAAAGGGGGCTTTATTGTTGGGACCACCCGGTATTGGAAAAACGTTATTAGCAAAAGCTGTTGCCGCTGAAGCTGGTGTCCCATTTTTATCAATGGCTGGCTCAGAATTTGTTGAAGTTATTGGTGGTTTAGGTGCAGCACGTGTGCGAGATTTGTTTCGTGAGGCACACAAACGTAGTCCCTGTATTATTTATGTGGATGAAATTGACGCAATTGGAAAAAAGAGGCGTGGTGAGGGAAAGTTTGCCGCATCCAGTAGTGAAGAAGAACATACATTGAATCAATTATTAGTTGAAATGGTAGATTAGATTTTGAATATTGTGTCTAGTTTCATACATTTTAAGTCTTTCTACTAGGATGGCTTAGAATCAAGATCAAATGTCATCATGTTAGCGTCGACTAATCGACCAGATGTATTAGATAAAGTGAGTTTTAGTTCTAGCTAATACGTTATTTTCTATAAGTGTATGTTCACACTTTAAGGCGTTACTTCGACCTGGCAGATTTGACCGTCATATTCTAATTGATTATCCAACGTTAGAGGAACGTGTTGAGATTTTAGAAGTTTATTTGAAAAAGTTGAAATTGGAAAAAGATTTCAAGTCGTATTCAAGACGTTTAGCACAATTGACACCTGGAATGAGTGGTACGTGTTTGCTATTAATCTTTTCTTTGCATGCAATATTCTTATACGTGTTTTAGTAATTCTGTATGATAAAAGTGTTTATTTATTTACTTCATGGTTTTTAATCAAATGTAGTCCGCGTGATTTTAAGGATAACTACTTGTAGAAAAGTTCCGTAGACGCACGACAATAGATCATGTATTGCGCATACACCAATGAAAGTTTTTTCGCATTTCAGTCTTATTAGTGATTTTAGAGAGCCAAAAGTTGAACTTTCCTCAAAAATCCATTTAAATTTTTAATTCAGTCTTTTTCGAGGTCAAACGAAATTAATTATCGAACAATAAGAGACTGAAATTAACACAGTATTTTCCGTATCAGTGTTATCAACAACGAGAATAAAAATTTATTCTTAAATTTTGAACAAAAATTTCATAAGATCAATCACACAGAACATGTGCTTGTGCAGTGTAGATAAAATATTACTCGCAGCATCGCTGAGCTCTTTAAGCGTTGTTACCACCGATTTTTTTATACGAGAAGCATTGGCAATCGCTTAGTTGCTTTAGCACGTCGTGCGAAACATATTTCTCTATAATTTTGCTTTTTGTTTAGGTGCTGATCTAGCAAATATATGCAATGAAGCGGCACTCCATGCTGCTCGCCTTGGCAAACCTGTTATTGCATCAAATGATTTTGAAGCAGCTGTTGAACGTGTTATAGCCGGAAGTGCAAAACAATCCAATACAATGGCTCCATCTGAAAAACGTACTGTTGCTTATCACGAATCTGGTCATGTCTTAGTTGGATGGTTATTAAAAACAACTTGTTTACCATTAAAAGTTACGAGTACGCACGTTGTTTTGTTATCTTTGACTTTTAGTTTGAACATGTTGAATTTCATATATTTTAGTTGTACCACGTACGGGTCCTGCACTCGGTTTTGCTCAATATATGCCCAAAGATAAAAAATTACTGCACGAAGAAGAAGTAAGTGTAACATTATACAGCGAATGTGCAAACGGTTCTGCGAAGCTACTTCTCTGGCACAGTACTCTGCCTTTACTTCCGCGTTTTCTAAACCTTATAGATACTCGACTTGTTTTTTGTTCAATCTATTTTCTTCAAATAGTTTGACGAAGATCTTTGTGTAATGTTGGCTGGACGGGTTGCTGAACAAATAATATTCAATACTGTTTCAACTGGTGCACAAGACGATTTACAACGAGCCACTAAATTAGCATATGCACAAATAAGACAATTTGGTATGAGTAAAACAATTGGTCTTATATCATTTCCTTCCGATAGAGACAATCCAGAAAAAACAGATTTTGGTGTTAAACCATATAGTAAAAAATTACAACGAATGATGGACGAAGTAAGAGAATAATTTGAGATTTATTAGAGATAGAAAAAACATAATTTTTATTTTTCAGGAAGCTCAGCAACGTTTAGCCAATGCATTTAAAAAAACTGAACGTCTCTTGGAACAAAATCGATCAAAACTAGAAACAGTAAGTTAAATGTTAGTTGTGCAAAACAAACTTTGCCTATTTTGTTTTTGCCTATTTTTAGTTAGCGGAAGAGCTACTCAAACGTGAAACACTTAATTATGATGATATTGTGAAATTAATTGGACCCTCACCCTATCCGAATAAACAGAAGATTGATATTGTGGACTGGGAAGCTGTAATTACCACGCCTGATCCATCAAAAGTTCCACCACCTCCCGAATCACTTGGTGGATCAGGTCAAGGACAAGCTGGACAAGGACCGCCACAGACTCCACATGAATCTCTTTAATAGGAAATGTCAGTTCTGGTGCAATGTTTCTTTATCTTCCGTTCCAATTAACGTTTTATTAATAATTTCACCCTCAATCACTGGCTTGCTATTTTCGTTAGAACCATTTCTCTTTGACATGATATTTCCGCTTTTTTTTGTACTATAGTTTATGTTTTCGATAACAATGTTTATATTTGTTGTTTATTGTGTAAAATAAACACTACAGTGAACATGAAACAACGAGAATCCCGTTGATAAACTAAGTATTAATTGTAATATGTGAGACTGATTTCTTGCCATTGTGAGATGTCCATATATGCTTTACGCATTGACCTTATTCTTTAGTATTAACAGATGATTAGAAATGAGTATTTTATTAGCGTAAAACGATGCTGAAAATTTATTAGTCTAACTTTTTTAGCGCTGTCAAATCATCCATATCATTTTTTTCTGCTGTGGTATTTTTCGTCGAATAATTTATCTGCTAGTTGAGAAAATTCTGCAGTTTTTGCGTTAAAATATTGTACGTAAATAAAGTATTTTAAGAAGAGAACAAGAAATAAAAACGTTTTTTTTTTTATTAAAGCAAACAACAATCACATGAGTAACCTGATAAGAATTATAAGCAACAGAAATTTACTTGATAGTTGATTAGCGTTTTCATTCTAAAAAATTATAATGAATTTAATCAGCGATCCTGTTTTGATTATTTTTGGTACATTTTTTTTGCATGAAATCGTCTTTTGGATCTATAGTGGCATTATTCTTTTATGCAGTAATGTACTTTTTAAAAATAAATTAGAAAAATGTAAAATTCAGCAGGTATATTTGAAATCCATTATTCAATTACTTTTAAAAAATTACTTCTTTTTTTATTATCTGTATAAAGAACCATTTAACTAGTTCATTCATCCTGACTATTACTCGTCATTGTCCGAGTACGTTTTTTTTTTAAATTCTATTAAATTATAGGCAGAACATTTAACGCCTCAAATGTTAATACAATGTACTAAAATGGTTCTTCTAAATCAATTTTTGGTTATGTGTCCAGTATGTATCGTCACATGTCCATTATTCATGTACTGTAACATTCGTTGGAGTTTACCTTTCCCACCATGGTAAATGTATTAACTAAGATTTGTGTATTCTCTTAATGTATTTTTTTATAATGTCTCTTTTGTTTAGGTATCAAATTGTGCTTGATCTTATCGGTTTTATACTAATAACAGAAGTTTTCTTTTATTATAGTCATTTGTTTCTTGTAAGTATAGTGCTGAGTTTGAGTAACAGTTAGATCTTCGAACTTAGTTAGTGTTTTTAGCACTGGTCTCCAATATACAAACATATACATAAGATTCATCATCGTTTTCGAGCTCCAGTATGCAATTGACCATATATAAAAAACGCACGATATTGATGATAAAGTAGATCGAGCATTTTTTTTGTATATCCTTTGTGTATGATATCATTGCTTCTGAATATGCACATCCATTAGAATTTCTCATCTCAAATATCATTCCAATTATAGCTGGACCACTTTTACTTCAATCCCATCTACTGACAACTTGGATATGGGTTGTAATTGCCACAACTGGTACAATTAATCATCATTCTGGCTACTTGTTACCATGGCTATCCATAGGACTCACGAGTGCCGAATTTCATGATTTCCATCATTCTAATTTTACAAATAATTTTGGCTTAATTGGTTTTCTTGATAGAATACATGGAACTGATAAACAATATAGAAAATATCTTATGACAAAACAAAAATAAATTTATACGTCTAATACTTAACGAACTTGGCTCCACTTCGAATAAAACTATAGATTTTTCTAAGACACTCTCAAAAATATTACGCAATATTTATTAAAGAAGCAGCAAAAAAAAAGAAAAAATAGAGGACAAAATAACTCGAAGCATTGAAACAGAAAAATAAAACGAAAAAAAAAAATAAACACATCTATATGAGTAAAAGATTGTTGTTGCATCAATTAAAATAACGGGATAAATCTAATTAAGATCCTATATCATATATAGGTTAGCTGAAGAAAATGTTCTAGTGTCTATATTATTATTCTATAGTCCTCTTTGGAATACAAATTCATTATAATGTAACCAACGATTTTCTTCGTTATCAGTTTGTTTTCCCGGTTCAGTTGAACCACTGCATCCCGATGCTGCACATCCAACCTGAATAAAAACGAATTAAAAGATTTTCTAGTAAAATAATAAACTATTTAAACTAACTCACCAATACGAATCCAGCTTCACCTAGCATATCGAATGCTTGCTCGAGAAATGTATGTTTAAGAAAAAATCTGGAAGTATAACGTTCTGTTTGACCTATAGAAATACAAATATTAAATTAATATGATAAATTAAACAAAACGATTATTATTAACGTACCATGATCTGGATCTCGACTTTCATTTAATGTATCTCCAAAAACTTCTCGACATAAATGTACTCGTCCACAGACTAATACACGTGAGATTTTTCTAAATTTAACATCGGCTAAACCGTCTCGACCAAATGCTAAAAATATAGTGTTAAAATATTTTATAAAATTTATACGAAAAAAGATATATAGTGATAACATACCAAATGTACCGCGGTATCCAACCACAATATAACCATTTACTGAACGTGGTTGTTTTACTAATGATGATTCTGATAATGATGCAGATGATGCAGCCAAATTTTCACTTTCATTTTCATTTATTGTTGTTGTTAATGTTGGTGTTATTGTTGTTTGCATTGTTCGTCCAAATTGTTGATGAATGGTTAATGCTTTCACCATATTTGTTAATTTATAATATTCTGCTTCACTTTTTAAACGTTCTTTTTCTTGAAAACTTTCGGGTAAAATAAGTTTTTTACAACGAAGATAATCTAATATATATCGAAATAATACACCATCACGATCAATAAAATAACGATTTTTATTATCACGTGTAATTTTATTATTTATATCCAATGATACATTATTCAAATGATTATGTTGATGTTGTTGTTGTTGTTGTTGTCCCACTAGATTAGCTAATAATGAATCCGGTTCAGATTGTAATGTTGATTGAAGTGTCGAATATGTAACACCACCAATATTTAATTCAACAATATCAGAAGAATCACTCATTATATTCTCAAATTATACACTGATTCATATTCCTAAAAGAGAAACTGATTATTTAGGGATCTTTAAAGCCCTTCGGTCTTCCGTGTTACTTATTTATTATAAATAATAAACATACCTTATTAGTTAAAATACTGCCAAAAAACCTAGATGATATATATATATATATATATATATATTATCTGAAACGAATAAAAATATTTTTTCAACAACGAATCGTACATAAGTCTTTTTTTTAGATAGTCAATGAACTTCCTCTATTTTTCTTTGTTTCCGATAACGATAACTCTATTTTTTTTTCTTTTCTTTCTTTTTTTTTATATTTCTTTGATTAGACTCTCATTTGAATAATGACTGATCGAGTTTTAGATTTAACAACAACAACAAAAAAATAAAATAAAATAAAAAAAATAAGAAATATATGATTATTCTCTCTCTGTTGTGTTAGTTTATTAATGATCTATGATATAATAAAAATGATGGCAGTTCAGTTAGTATTTTAGATTCAATCGGAATATCGTGTCATTTTACCTTCGATTTTTTTTGATTATTTCATTATTATCTAATTATATTGACTAGACTATGTTTAAAATTAATATTATGTTCCTGTTTTTGACTAAGTGAATATTATTGAAAAAATGTGACAAATATAAATAATGATATGATGCCAACGAAAAAATATTTTATAAACGTCAGAGTAAGAGTATAAAAAGAAAACACCAAACATGAAAGATGAAAGCAAGTGTGTAACTCGAATGTATTCTATCAAAGAAGAAGTGATGTTAAAATACAAATATTTTATATCATTGTTCAAAACGTTGGAAATATAAAAATTATTCTTACGACTAGATGCGCATATTTGTTAAAATAAGGAAGTAAAAAATGACATTAAGTGAAATTAACATCCTTTTAGGTGTGTATCTTTTTTTTAATATACAAAAAAAAAAAAAAAAAAAAAAAGAAGAAAAGGAGGGGCAGACAAACAAAAATTAAAAGTTTTT